GAGTTACAACAGAGTGAGGCTCTCTGTCAGCAAGATCTGGAACATCCCAACCTCCAGAACTGTGATTCAAAATGAACTTTGCTAGGAATGATTCCTGGCTACAAACTGACACTCCAGTACAGCAGAATAGAGGTGGTTAGAGAGGGCATTCATGGTCTCTTCCTTATCATTGAGAAACAATTTCCAGCTGCTCTGTTATTCATAATACTATGTGTTTTTCATGTATTCCTTGATATTATAAGTACCATCATCATATACTGAATTTGTAGAGGTTTTTATGTATTGATGATGAATTTTATCAAATGCTTCTCAGGCATCTGTTGTCCTTAATATGCTGTATCATATTTACTGCTATATATATTGAACCACCTTCAAGTGAAATATATTCCAAGTTTTCATAGTGAATGATGCTTTAATTGTGTTCTTAAATTTGTTTTAAAAATACTTTGTGGAGGATTTTTAAATTTATGTTCCTTAGTAATATTGAGCTGGAATTTTCTACTTTTTGTAATGTCTTTATCTATTTTTGGTACCAGGAAGATGCTTGTCTCCTTCTGTTTTTAAGAATTCCCTGCCCTTCAAAAGTAAAAATTTGAGTATATTGATAGATTTACTTTAATGGAAAATCACCTAGTGTGCTTATATATTAATATATCAAAGTACCCTTAAATATTTTCATCTTAATCTTTGCATATATCACAAAGATATGAATTTATACAGCAATTTAAAGCAAGTTAGAATATTTTTCAAAATTGCTTTAGTTATCTTTTAAAATTTGGTACCATTTAGTGTTGATCTCATCGGTTCCTTTATTTGTGATTTGGACTACTACTGTGAATGAATTTCATCATTCTCTGTTGCTGTATTCAGTTCTGTTTTATTTCTTCAATATTCAAGTTTCATAAGTTGCATATGTTCTGCAATTTATACATTAGTTCTCAGTTTATATTCCTTGTAACAGGGAACACGTAACTGCTACACATATGTAGCTCAGGATTGATTTCACGAGGGACCTTTATAAAGGTGCAGTGTTAACTGAATGAATTTATACCTCTTCCAGTTCTGAAAGCTACATGTCCACGTCTGCAAGTATATGGCTGTTATTCACCGTGCACATCAATGGCTTCATGCAGCATGGGGTTTTGGTGTCTGTTAGCATAATGTTATCAGTGCTTGTTCATGTTGCAACACGAATGCTCTCTACTCATTATCCACCATGGAGATGGACACCTGAGCTGCATCAACATCAAAGGAGGAACAGATTATCTTAGTTTACAGTTTCAGTGGATTTAGCCATGGCTACTTGGCCGTGTTGCTTTGTACTTGAGTTGGCACAATACGTCATGGCAGGAAAAGTGGAGGTGGAGACCTGTTCCCTGCAGGTTGGCAGGGAATCAATGATGGAAAGATGGGCCAGAACATCTCTATCTTCTTCAACGTCATGCTCCCTATCATCTCATTTAATTATACTAATGCTTCCATGTAAGGATTCCACTACCACCATCCACAATCACAGCATAAGCACCAAGTCATTGCTTTGAGAAAAATATTTGTAAATCAAACATTTGAACAGTAACGTCTATCCAAATACATAAGGGACACAACCATCTCAATCACACATACACAAAAATAACCAAGTTCAAAGAAGTCAAAAATCATGAAAAGATTTTGAAAAAGAGCAGATACGTATGAGTAGTAGTGTAAGGAAGGGTGCCTAAATTCTCCTAGCATCAGAAAAATGCAAATTAAAATTACAATGTGATTACAATGTCCTCTCTGTGGTAGACCTTACCAAGATATATGATAAATATTCTTGGAAGTATCAAATGAAATGCCCCTGTAAAATTAATGTATGCTAATAAATCTTATTTAAACATGAGAAATGCAGTGTCCATGAGGAGGCAGAGGTAAGGAAATCCAGCTACATGTTGGTTAGAATGTGAATAACATCAATCATCAAGGAAAACTGTGTGAGTTTCCCCAACACACCAACACTTGAATCAAGATGACTCCACAATCCACTGATGGGCACCTGTTCAAGGAATAACACGTTATCATCACATATGTCCTCAGTCCCATGGTCAATCAGAGCAGCATCATTCACAGGAGACATGATAAGAAATTAAACTAGCTAAGAGCTCCTGAAAGAAGGAATGAACGAAAATATGTTGCATATTCAAAAATGAAATGTGACTGAGATTTACAAGGAAGAAAATGGTGAACCTGCAGGAGACAGCGCTGAGTAAAATAATCCTGGCACAGGAGGACAAGTGCTGCCACTCTCACTGACACAGGCAATCTAAACAGGGAAAATGGAAGGAGTGGCAGAAGGATTGGGGATTTCCAGAGGCGAGTGGAGAGGGGAAGAGGACATGACAGCTCATGGATGGATAATTTCACTTTAGAAGAAGCATACCACCAAATCTAATGATGATTTATGGCATATTTCAAAATTGTTTTTACATAAAAATGTAGGGGAGATTAAGAACATGGTGGTTAGCTTGGTTTAATCATTCTACAATGTATACCTGTATCAAAGCTTTATAACTGTTCTATCTATTTAACAATTATTTGTGAATTAAATTTTTCAAAATCAAGTGGCAGTAACTGCAAAATTGTAAAGAAAAAAGTCTGCCTTGTATTCTACTTTTTTCTTTTTAATATAAACATTACATGAAATCATGTTAATTTACATCATTAATTTCCTGTAAGAATGAAAGTGTTACTGGTTTTACACACGGGAGTGCTCATCAGCACATCCTCCTGTGTCAACTGGCCCTTAGTCCTGCTGTCTTCACACCCATACTTTCAACCTATTGACCCATTCATACAACAACACCTTCTCTCGTCGTAAGGAGTCTAAAGAAAAGTTGATTTTTGTTCTACTCACTTTACCACCCATCATCACAACATGAGATCAAATGTGGAATCCAGCATTCATAGAAGCTGGGTCATCTGGACCAGCTCTTGAGAACTGATTCTATGCTGTCCTATGTTGGGATCCACTGAGGCAGGATGACCACCTTCTCCACAGATCACACAAGTGGCTCATGCAATGACAGTCCCTCATCTTGTAGTCATTGCAGAGATGCCCAGAGCCTCCTGTACAGTGAGTACAGCTCCAGTACACAAGACTTCGGAAGCATTAGGACACTGCAAGAATGGAACATGTTTCCTTCAGTAAGAGGAAGTAATTGTGGAGAAAAAATATGCTCCATAATTGCTGTGGCTGATAAACATGGGTTGCACGTTTGAAATATTCTAAGACTACAGATCCCAAATGATCTCACTGCCAAAATAAAGGTTCCATGTGAGGGAATATATGTCTTAATTATTCTCATTGTGAAAATGATGTTGTAGTGTGTGTATGCATTGAGACATTGTGTTCTAGAAAACACACATACAAATATTCTATGTATGTATATAGGCTTTACATCAACAATGCTAGGAGCAATGAAAAATACACTTATCCTGCCAAACTGTGTATTAAGTTTGAAGGAAATAAAAGTCTCTCTAGCAGCCTCATGCATACCATTTTGCCATCTCTCCTGTCCACATAACCACAATGTGTAATTTTACTCCATCTCCCTGGACCATGTGGTCTGACCCTGTGCAATCTGCAGGGTCTACAGAAGACAGCACAGTCTCATGCTTGGTTGATTATGAGATTCTCTCTATATATGAAGAAACATCTGTATCCTCACATACACATATGAGGCTCTTAAGAGCAGAAATATCTTCATGAGGTGAGATTTATTCTTCAGTTCACACAAGAATCTCACATGATGGAATGATTACTTATGTGAGAAACATTGTTGAAAACACATTTGATTTGTTTGTTAATCTTTCTTCAAGATACAAAGTTTATTCCTTCCTGACAGGATGGGATGTGTGGAAATCAAAAATTCTTTGTTCTTTCAGAATGATGGAAGTGTATAAGAGGAAAGTGAGGGGAGGAGGCCACCTGGGGTAGGCCTTTCACACAGCAGGATTCATTTCCATGGTGACAGTCATCATGATGGAGTTACAGGACATATCTCACAGAGAACTGGACACAGTCAATTGAGCTCACAGCACAACTGGTGTTCATCTACAGGTCTCCCCAATGTCAGGGGGGATGGAGGAGACTTTATGACAGAGCAGAAGAAGGTCATCTTTCCTCTACACCCCATGTATCCAGTTAATTCTTACCACAGACTCCTAATGTCCACTTCTATTTCCAAAAGTCAACTTACCCAGATGACAGCAGGAGGGCCCTGAGCAAGTGAGACTGAGAAATCACGCCAGCCTTTTCTGGGGTCTGCACCATGCACAGCCTGAGCCACATCTGAGCTTCAGGTAATTGGTTGAGCTCTGTGATTTAGACTACAGAGATTACAAGCTAAATTTTATGATTAAAGAAAGAGAAATGGAGATGTGAGAATGAGAGTCCTTGAGTAAGAAAATGAGTCAGCTAAAACAATAGGAGAGAGGCAGTTCTGAACCTGATGTGCACAGTTCTACAGAGAGAAGATGTGAGATACATTAGGTTTTACAGATCAGTGAGCTGCCTCTTCTCTCTTTTATTCACAAAGTGAATCTTAAACTGTCCTGACCAGAGATTCCACTGATATTCTGTCTCAGTGGAAAAGTATCACCAGGTTTGCTGATCTTCCTCAGTCTGGTGATGACAGCATTCTCCTCTGCCCATCAACCTGGCAATGAGTCCATTGTTCATGTTAAAATGTGTCATGTATTCTTTTTTTTTAATTACAAAAAGTAACGATATATTTCTATATGCATGGACTTTAAAGATTAGCACAAACAATAAAAATAGAGAGACTAACAGGGAACAATTGTTAGACAAATATTCAGCACAGATACAGAGGAGACCTGTATTTTGACCTTTATGTGCCTGCTCCTGCAGCAGGCCCTGAGCTCCTAGAGCACTGAGTGCCCTCTGCTGATCTTGATCCCTTTCCAGCATGGAGGTTTGTGTCTGAGTTCTCACTGTAGTCCTCTCACTGTGTGTCTTGCACAGTATACATGGCTGTGTCCTCAGCTCTCAGGCTTTTCATTTGCAGATGCAGCTGGTTCTTTTCATCATCTCTGGAAATGGTCAATCTGCCTTTCACAGATGCATTGTATTCTGTGGTGTAACTATTAGTTTTGTTTCTAATGCATGCAATTGACTCCAGACCCTTCTCTGGAGCCTGACAGACCCAGCTCATGTAGTAATCACAGAAGGTGAATCCAGAGGCTGCACAGGAGAGTCTCAGGGAACCTGCAGGCTGCACCAAGCTTCCCCCAGACTCCACCAGTTGCACCTCACACTGGACACCTGCAAACACAGAGAATCCTGATCAGGAAACTGTCACATATACCCACAGTTCATTTAACTTATATCCACTCACAAATTAAATGTCTCTTGTTCTCCATAAATCACCTTTGAAAATAGCAACAAGGAAAACCCATGTCAACTTCAACTCCATGGAGAGTGTTCTGAGTTTGGTACTGATCATTTAATGGGATCAGCTGGAATCCAGGGCTGGGCTCTTCTCTCAGAGCTGCAGGGTCAGTGCTGGGCAGATACTTGTGGACAGAAAGAGGTCTTATTTGTATGCCTGCCTCCTATATATTGTTTGTAAGAGAGAAGGCACTGTCCAAGCAGATGTGCATGTGTGTGGAGAAAGATGCTATCATTGTTAATAGCTATTAAATATAAATTTTTATTTGTGTTTCATTCATCACTGAACACTCATTTTATGTTAAAGTTTATGTGCATAATGCATGCATTCCACTCACTCCTTACATGTTACAAACACATAGAGTCAAAACCTGGGAACGGCTATATGATATGCTAAGAACTCTCATCTGACACAAACAAACTCAACTGTAAAGACCTGAAGTCCTTCCCACTGCTCTCAATGGCCCCTGCAGCAATTCCTGGGATAGGTTGATGGGCTTGGTGATGCTGTCCAAACTCTTCCTCTATACAGAACATGATGTGATTTTCTTCCATCCTGTTCTTCTCTAAACATAGTTCAGATGGAGATTCTTTCAAGCATCTACTCAGATGTCTCTCACATTTCTTGTGTTTTTTATTTCACACTCATTATCTACCAAAATATTCTGTTGTTTATTTGTAATAGCCTTAATAAAGTATAACTTACATACAATCTTACATATATAAATATCTATAATATGATAAAGATTCACAAAAATTATTACCATTATCAAGGTAATGAATAAATCAATTACTCATTTTTCTGTATTTTCTACTTTTTTCCACACTATCCCCAAACAACTCCTGATATTCTTTATTTGAATTTAATTAGATTTATTGTTCTAGAACTTGTAATTGTGGTGTCATATGATGTATACTTTGTTTTTCTTTATTTTACTAGTAAGTACTGCATATGATTTTCAGTGTATTGTATGTATGCATTAGTTGTCATGACTGGTTTTTCTTCGATGAATGCATTAATAGGTATTTGTTTCACAATTAAGATGCTTATTGAAAATTCATAAGGATGAAATAAATGCTGCAACATATGCTATACGGGAGAAGCTCCAATTTTTTGTATTTTATTCATTACTTCAGATAATGAATATTATAGGACAAGCAATACTGATGAATCAAATCAGAAAATTACAGCAATTTCAGGTAGAGAACTGAAAGGCTGTATTACATATTGAGGTATCTCCTTTTTTAAAAAGTGGGGGTGAGGATTCACACTGTGCAATGGTGGATGATGTAAGGTGCAGACAAGGAAGCAGGAAAACAGGGAAGGGAGAGAAGACTGGATAAATCCAGGTGCCTCAGGGCACTTGTAAAGATAAAGCAGAATGGTCTCCTTGTCACCCCTTCTCCTGTTTTAAGAAAAACTGTTCTGCATTGGGACTTTCTTCTTCTTTGATGATTAGGTTTATTTAGGTGACATTAAACATGAATTGGTTGATATGTTGCTTCAATATATGAGAGGTTATAAACTGTGTACTTCTATGTGTAGACCTGTATGTTGAAAACCAAATAAACAAGTAGAGGTAAGAATGTATTTCGGTTTGTTTGCTTCAATTCAAGTCTGGTGTAGGTTTTGATAAACCTGTTATTTGCATGAGAGCATGGCCAATCAATTTTTTCTCATTTATTCATATGTGCATACAATGTTTGGCCATTTCTCCCCCTACCCCACACCCCCTCTCTCTCCCCACAACCCACCTCACTTTCAGGCAGAATCTGTTCTGCCCTTATCTCTAATTTTGTTGAAGAGAGATTATAAACAATAATAAGAAAGACGAGGCATTTTTCCTCACTGAGGTAAGTATAGGTATACAGGGAGATTCCTAGCCTTGCTTCCATGTATAAATCCATGAAAACACAAGTTGATTAATATCTAATTGACCTTTTCCTAGCTCCCAATCCCCTTCTCATATTGACCTCTGTCACTTTAAAGTTTCTGTATTCGCTCCTCTGCAGTGAGGACCTCAAATACTATCATGTTTTTTGGGTTTCTTACCTCTACCTCCCATACCCGCATACCTCCTGTGTGTGCTCTCACCTTGTAATGTGACAAAAGTACAATCCAACTCCTATTTTTGCCCTTGATCTGAAGTCTGCATATGAGGGATTTTTGATCTTTTGAGCTTGGCTAACCTTGCTCCAAATGATGTTCCCCCTTTCCATCCATTTATGTGCGAATGATAAGATTTTATTTTTCTTCATGGCTGAGTAGAACTCCATTGTGTATAAATACCACATTTTCTTAATCCATTCATCTGCAGCGGGGTGCCTTGGCTGTTTCCGTAACTTGGCTATTGTTAATAGAGCTGCAATAAACATGGGTGTGCAGGTGCCTCTGGAGTAACCTGTGTCACATTCTTTTGGGTATATCCCAAAGAGTGGTATTGTTAGATTGTATGTTAGATCCAGATTTTTAAGAAGCCTCCAATTTTTTTTTTGTAGTGTGTTGTACTAGTTTGCATTCCCATCAGCAGTGTATGAGGGTTCCTTTTTTTCCACATCCTCACCAACACCTGTTGGTGGTGTTTTTGATGATAGCTATTCCAACAGGGCTGAGGTGGAGTCTTAGTGTGGTTTTGATTTTCATTTCCTTTATGGCTAGAGATGAAGAGCATTTTTTCATGTGTTTTTTGGCCTTTGAATTTCTTCGTTTTAGAAAGTTCTGTTTAGTTCACTTGCCCATTTCTTTATTGGTTCATTGATTTTGGGAAAGTTTGCTTTTTTAGGTTCCCTGTACATTCAGGTTATCAGTCCTTTGTCTGATATATAGCTGGCAAATGTTTTCTTCCACTCTATAGGTGGTCTCTTCAGTTTAGAGACCATTGCTTTTGTTGTGCAGAAGCTTTTTAGTTTTATGTAGTCTCATTTGTCTATACTTTCTCTTAGTTGCTGAGCTGCTGGGGTTCTATTAAGTAAGTCCTTGCCTATACTTATTATTTCCAGTGTGTTTCCTGCTCTTTAGTGTACCACCTTTAGAGTTTGGGGTCTGATATTAAGGTCCTTGATGCATTTTGAGTTGATACTAGTACAAGGTGATAAACATGGATCTAGATTCAGTTTTTTACAGATGGCTAACCACTTATTCCAACAATATTTGTTGAAGAGGCTGTCTTTTCTCCATCATATATTTTTAGAAATTTTGTCAAAAATATCATGGGCATAATTGTGTTGTCCTCTATTCTGTTACACTGGTCTTCTGTCTGTTTTGTGCTAGTACTGTGCTGTTGTTATTGTTATTGTTTTGTAATATAGTTTGAAGTCAGATATTGTGATATCTCCAGCATTGTTCTTTTTGCTGAGTATTGACTTGGCTAAACAAGTACAAGTCAAGGATATCCTTTGCAACAATCATTGCTGTTGACAATATTAGAATCCAAAAAGTCTAATTTCATGTATGTTACAAGGAAGGTTGCACATGACAGGGACTAACCACGGTTTTCCTGAAATACAGTCATTTAGACACCGAGCAGATTGGTTTTTAATTACTTTACAGTATAATATGTACAAGTGTGTCAATCCTATTCCCAATAAAGTTAGCTGGATGGAAAACTCTACATGTGGTACTATCTTCAGTTTCATTTTAGGTACAACTTAAGATTACATTCTCTAAATCCTTTCAGAAGAGGTATATTACAGGGCAAGTGGAGGCTTGGAGGGCTGGGGAAAGGCAGCTCCACAAGTCAAACACCCTATGTTTGGTCATAGAGAATTTTCTCTTCAATCAAGGTTTCCTTCCCATCCTCAGCAGCAGAAGGAGCCATATAGACTCTGATTAGCAACTTCTCCTCCAGAAACCTTTTATTTGAGTTTTGATCTCTGGCTCATTATCCTCACCTTGGTTTCCTCCAACCTTTCTTTATTGAATCCCATCCTAGCAAGGACATTGGAAAGAAAAATATTTTTTAAATTGTCACACTAAACTTGGTGGATTTGAAAATATTATGTTGACACTTCAAAGCACCCTATAATATATTTTTTATCCATAACTCTTTTTCTACATGTACATAAACTGGAAGACCTAGGAGTCTTTGGACACCCTGAAAGTAGCAGAAGGAGTCCCATCCAGTTCAGGTAGAAGTTCACAGTCCCAGAAACTGGGCCCAAAATCCAAAGAATCAAGAACCACAGGAGCCCCAGAATTTTCAGAGGCCTAGGAAATTCAACCAATCTCAAAGAGAGAAGGAACAGAGGCAAAGGTGAAAGATGGGGAAGGTGAAAACTAAACTTCAACATTAAATGTAAGGAGTTTGTGTTTCTCCATATATCCATGATTTGTAACACCATTTCTATGCAGTTATTGGGAAAATGGAGAAAAATAGAAAAGAGCCCCTTTTCCCCTATGGAGCCACAGGGTGACCCACATTCATTTCATGGAAAATCAGTGACAGGCATCAAAGAATATGGGGCTCTTTTCAAAGATTTAATGAATAAAAGAGAGAAAGTAAGATAGAGGAAGGGAAATAAAGATAGAGAAAAAGAAACAAAGAAAAACATAAAAGGAAAGAAATAAACTGAGAAAGAAAAAGAGAGAAAGAATAAGGAAAGATAGAGGAGAGAATAAAGAATGAAAGAAAGAAAGAAAAAGAAAAAAAATAAAGAGAACGAAGGAAAGAAATGAAAGCTAGAGAAAAAGACATCTAGGGAAAATCTAGTTGCTTAGCAGTCCACAGGGATAAAAATGTGGAGACCCGTGGACACCATCTGTGGAAATAACAGGAACTGCCTGCAGTTATGGGGAGGGTCTTACATGAGGGAAGGAGCAGATTCAGCACCAGTAATGGGACTGCACAATGTGAGTCACCCTAAATGCTGACTAGAACTGAGATGCAGAAACCATTCTCCCCATTGTATTTTGTAACCAGGGAATAGCCAATTAACATTGATTTTTTCCTCAGCAAGAAGAGCTGCAGAGGAAGACTAGACCTCAGAAATACCAGGATCCCTGAATGGAGACAGGAGCACAATTGG